AAGAAGAAGAAGAAGAAGAAGAAGAAGAAGAAGAAGAAGAAGAAGAAGAAGAAAAAGAATTACCTGTTGCAGCCTTCTTCATACTTGAAGCGAGAATGGCCCTTGTACAACTGGCCGTTTACGATACAGCTCACGCATCCTGCATTTAAAAACAAAGATAAAATAAAACTATGAACACACTCATATTGACAGTAGGTGCTAATAATCACGTTATCATGACGGTATGTGCAGCAATATCGTCGGCAATGTTTGTTTGATTTAGTAGATAAATATATGTCGACACCGTAATGGTCATTTACTATAGGAGCTCCCGTGGTCTAGAGGTACGCATTTGGTCTCTATCAACAGGTCCGGGTTCGAATCCTGAAAACAACGGAAACTATTGTTCTCTAAAAAAAAACTGTTCTAGTTTCAACTCCTTTCTGGCTCTCTAATTATTTTCTGTCATCTGCATTCCTCTCCACTTTCTGCTCCCCCCCCCCTCTGGGCTCCTTACTCTTTCTGCTGCCTTTCTACTGCTACTCATTGGCTCCTCTTACTGCTGTCTTTCAGCCACACCCCTGATCTTAGGGTAGGTAAGATAAAACATCTATTCTTCTCGGATAAGGGCAAACAAATCTCAAAGGTCCCTTGTGAAAGTTGCGCAAGTTAAAGATTCCTTGGTGGTCCTAAAAGATCGATAAGAGAAGGCTTCGGCCGGTGTATACTCACGTGAGCGGGCGGTCCTGACAGCCATATCATCGTCTGCTACCATTTTATCCTTTTCGACCACCCCGTGATCTCTGCCATTTGCCTCTGAGAACAGAAAGAACGGTAATTCATTTTATGTCAATTTGACGTCAAACCAATATGTCGTTTTAAAGGCGGGAATCCCCTCTTTAGGTTGATGGGAACCGGAGGGGGAAAAGAGTGAAAGAGGGAGAAAGAGCGAGCGAGCGAGAGAGAGAGAGCGGGAGAGAGAGAGAGAGAGAGAGAGAGAGAGAGGTGGGGAGGTAGGGAGGGAGAGAGAGAGACGTCTCAGTAAAGGTCCACACAGAAATGTGTTATTAAATAGACGTAAAAGGTGTGGTGCTAAAACAAACAAAATTATCACAAAAATGCCACAAAATTGCCAAACTGGCGGGACAATGCCGGTGTCTTCGATTTCATTACTTTGACGAGCCCGTTCTTTCACCACAATGCCTCAAAAATGTATTATGCCTCCATCAACATAGTCTAGGCCTGGAAGGACGTAGGCTTCTTCAACTCTGTCTGCCATAGCCAAACCAGGTTGAATGAGTGGGGATACATCATCCCATTAGATATACTGATATACCCGATACATCTTTTAAATAGCAAAAAGTCTAACATAGAGCCTATCCCTACCCTTACACCACAGACGCCCCCTTCCCGCCCCCTTCC